TTCTATCAATTTACGAATATTGGTATCATTAATGGAAATAGCTTTAAATCAAATCAAGACAAATTTAAAACAATATTAACTTATTAGCTCAATTACGAGTTAATCAAATTTCAATTAATAGAATTTCTCCCTTATAAGAATGTTGAATTATGAAAAGTTAGTTTTTTAGGAATTTTATTCTATGAAATTTGATCGTTTTTCAATATTTATTATCGAAACTTTACAAATATTCTTTCCACTATGAAATCAATTTATAGAAAAATTTAATATTCTCATTTCTTTTCATATATGAAAAAAGATCTTTTGTCAATATTTAATAGAACAAGAGAAAAACAAAATCTCGAACAAAGTTTTATCTTCAGTACTTGTTTCTAGAAAACTGAATTTATATATCAATTTTAAAATAGAAATAAATTATTATTTTAATAAATAATTTAATAAGATAATTTTTATTCTAACAAAGTAAACATTTTATTATTTTAGAATAAAAAAGTCGAATTTATTTTATTGATTATTTTATTATTAGAATCGAACGTTTTATCGAATAATAATATTCAAATATATAGATGGAAATTTATAAAAGATAAATGAAAAGAATATACATTCACACATCGATCTATCTACATCTATGACTTAAACTATGCCCTATAGAACATTTCATGATAAACTATATGAAAAAAATTATTTTTATTCTAACATTTCTATTATTAAGATAATTTATTTCTAGAATAAAAGAATAACTAAGACTATTTTTTCACTTTAGTCGAATTTCACCCTCGAGAACACACATACACACAAACATCATTATTTTCGACCTTTTACTATAGAAAATATCAAGAATGCACAGGCATAGAGTAAATAGTGGCTATTCTAAACAAGCAAATTAGTCTCTACCAATATAAATAATCTATTTCTGAAAAGATTTTTTTTCCAATACTTTTATATAGATCTATAGAAAACACTCCAAGCCACACATCACTGTTGCCTATTCTAAGAAATTAAAAAAAAATTAAAAAAATTAAAAAAATGATGAAACTTTCAACTTCATTTTATTGAGGTTGAAATAAAATAGATCATTGTTTCGAAAAATATTGAAAGTTCTAATCAGTATCTTCAAGTTTAACACGTCAATTTAACTGTTGTTTAATTATTATAATAATGTCAAGTTCGAAGAATGTTTAAGATCTCGTCCCCCTCAAAAATTGATCTTGACTCAGATATATTCAAATCCAATGAAATTCTCAGGGTATGTTCTGGCTGTAATGGACAACCTATACTCAAATTTACATTCCTATATCACTTTATTCGATGGTCAAACTATTCAACTTATAATAATTCTTATCTATAAAAAAAAAACGTACTAATTTTTAAAATAAAAAATATTTTCAATTAAAAATGAAGACATGTTACAAATAAAATAGATAATTTGATGATTGATATTATGGAAGCAATCCTTTTTTTTTATTTAATCAACTCGAATTGAACAGACAATATCTTTATACCTCGATTATCAGAAAAAAATGTTATTTTAATAGACTTAATAATAATAACAACAATCAATTCCTATCAATTAGATCTATTTTACCTTAAGAAAAAAAGGCTGTAGACGATTTATTCTAAATAAATCAAAGTTCACTGTATGAAACTCAGCAAACAACTTTTACTTTGGTAAAAAAATCAATAATTTCATTTTAACTTATGGAAACGAAGCAGATAAATGAAGTGTTTCGTTATGGTTTTGCAAAAAAAAGCAGCGATCTTTATTCTGATTAGAAGTTGTATGTTACTGTCATTTAGCCAAGTAACTAATAACGAAAATCTAACTATTATTGGAATAAGGAAAAATGGATAATGGAAAAATTTCGGTTGATTATAGAAAGTAATGATAAGTTGTTTTCTCTCTAGTGGTTATCAGTTACTGTTATAAATAGTTCCGTCAGCAACTGTCTCATACTTGTTCTATGATCATTTATTCGATAATTAGAAAGTTACTCTTACTATTTACTGAATGAACGATTACTTTTCATTCTAGTTATTTTAATTATAATATAAGTCTATGGTAAGAGGTAACATCTTACCACTAAATTTAATATAATTAAATAATAAATATTTCTGTCATTTGTCTGATAATGCAGTATTAAATAATAAATGGACTCATCGACACTTGACAACGATGTCTTGCGTTTTTTTTTTTCTTTTTTTCCTCTTAAATAGAAAAGTATCGTTATCATAATGACATATGTATATCTGTTTCGACTGAAGAAAACATTCTCATTTGAATAAATCTATTCAAGGAAATTAACAATAAGTATATAATGGATGAAAAATTTCTTTTATTCAATGATCTATATGATAATCAAGCACAAAATAATAATTTATCTTCTTCAATAAATTCTAATAATGATTCGAATATTCAATTAATATCAAATGGAACTTTATCAAAACCATTTTCATCAAATGAAGATATTTATATTAAAAAAAGAAATTCTTATGAATATTTATCAGTAAGTTTAAAAAACAAAATTCTTTTGTAAATAACAAAGTCTTTTTTGTACTCGTTAATCATATACTTGGTAGACATATATCAATGGTTTGACTCATTTCTACTGTCGTCAAACTATGTGCGTCAATCGACATAAAAATAACAGACAACAAAAAACTATCTTCTCTTCTTTTTTGCTTATTCCCACTCATTTTTTATCTTCTCTTTCCTTATTTTGTTTATTATTGCATCTTAGAAACAAAACAATATTAGATTTACTATTATCATATATATAATCGAACATTTTTGTTTTTTTCAAATTAAAATTTCTAAAATAATATTTTATTGATCTAACGAAAGAAAAAAAAAGCAATGTATATGTTTTGTTTGTTTCGATGATTTTTATACTTGTGAATAAATTTGTTGTTAATGATAACAA